TATTTATTTTCTTATAATTTAAAGTAATTAATATTATTTTAACATTTACTTTGATGATTTTTACTATAACAAATCAAATAAAATTATTTAATAATATTAATTAATTAGAATCATCACATCAAAGATTTAGATGACTAGATTAAAATTATTAATTTTAAAAATATAAATATATTTAAAATAAAAATAATAAAATTATAGGTTGAGAAAAAAAAACTAGAATGAACAAATATTCTTCATTTATAATATATTTAAGTGTGTGTACCAATCTTGACCTTCATAACTAAAAAAAATAGTTAAGAAATGTGAAGATAAAAATTAGAGAAGTGAATTTTGTAGATAACTTTTTTTATAAATTCAAACACTCATATTGAAAAGAAAAGACATGAAAGAAAAAAAAACGAATTTGATGACTTATCATATTATTAAAAATTTGGATGAAATAATTATGTATAATACTTTTTTAGTATATTATGTTTTTAAATTTGCTAATAGAGAAAAAGTTTCAGAATTCAAAATGTTAAATATTTTTAAATATTAAAATTGACTTTATAAAAAATTAGAAAAAAACAACTAATCCAAAAATATAATAATAATAAAAATATTATAAAAAAGAGTTCAAAAATATATTATAATATTTTTCAGTTTTAGTTTAATTATATTTTTAAATCTCAAAGTAGAAAAATATATTGTAATTATTTTAATTTAATAAAATATAATTTAAATTTTTAATACTAAAAATAAGAGATTAAATAATAATAAATTTAATTAATTAAATTTAGTATTTAGAAACTAAAATTATAGTTTCTCTATTTTGAAAATTTAAAATAAATATTTAAAAATAAAAACAAAAACAAAAACTAATATTATCTTAAATTTATTAAAAGTACAATTAAATCTCCATTTTCTTATCCAATTTTAGAAATTTTTTAATAAAATTCCAATATATAAAAAAGTTAAATTTTAAAAGGTACAACCTTAACTTACATTAACTGTTTTTTTTTTGTTTTTGAAAAACTCACAAGAAAAATAGGGCTTTGAAAAAATAAAGTTAATAATTTTGAAGTTATTTCAACGATAAAGTTTCTAGATGTGATTTATGCATTTATTGAGCAAAATTGGAGGTGTGTTGAATATAAATTTAAATATATTTTTAATTTATTTAAATATAATTTATTTTTAGTATTTATAAAATGAATTAGTTTTAAATTTTTAACTTTTCTAGCTGTCTATTTTTAATCTTTGTTATTAATTTTGTTAAAAATGAAAAATATTAATTATTATATTTAAAGTAAAAAAATATTTCAACTAAATATAAATATATTTTTATAAATAATTTAATTAAATAATATATTTATTATCTAATGTATATCAATTATATTTTGATATAAATTTTTTTCTAGTATATCAATTATATGAAAACAACCATGGTTAAGCAATTAATAATAATAAGGCAATAAATTTAAAAACTAGATTAAAAATAAAATATTATAAAATAAAATTGTAATAATTTGATTGATATTGTAATTTTTTTAATTAATTAAGTTAATGAGGAATTAAAATGTGATAATTTGATGTGTTCAATTTTTTAATATAAATTTTTAAAATATAATTTAATTTCAATTGAAATTTTCATTTGAAAATATATTAAAGAATATTTATTATTAAATTTTTCTTAAACAATGTATTGAATAGTTAATATCACTTTCGTCTTAATTTATTATAATTTAAATTTTTAATAAATTTGATTTATTTTTAATAATATTTTTATTTTAGTAACTTAAAATTAAAGTTAATCTTTATTTTGTTAATATTGAGACCAAAGTTTATTTTTAAAGTATATTTTAAAAAAATAAATTAATTTTAAAAAATAAATTGTAGAAAATATACTAAAGCAATTAAAGTATATTTATAAAAAAATAAATTTAAATATAATAACAAAATAATGTTCATTAGCGTACGATTTCAATTCGATCGGTATTTTCTCATTAGCGATCGATTTCAATTCGGTTACTATTTCAATTTGTCATTCGGTCGCTAATGCTAAATAATTTTTTTATTTTAGTATGAAATAGTCACTGATTTAGCGATCGAAATTTTGTGACACAAACTATTGGTCGTTATTTCGGTCGCTAAATAAAAAAATGAAACCGAATCATATTTCGGGGCAAAATCGGTAGCTAAATTGTGACCGAATTAAATCAGTCTCTAAATCGATCACTAAATTGCGATCGAATTAAATCGGTCACTAATTGCAATCTGAATTAAATCGGTCGCTAAATCAATCGTTAATTGCAACCAAGTAAATCGAGTCGCTAATCAGACGCTAATTGCGATCAAATTAAATTAATCGCTAAATCCGTCGCTAGCTGCGATCGAAAAAATTCGATTGCGATCGCTAAAGTATTTTTTCTTGTAGTGAAAATATATTTTTAAATTAATATTAAAACTAAAAAAATATTCACTAATTATTTAAAATTATGATTACAATAATAATTTTATTTATTTTGATAATACATGAATTTATTTACTATAACATAAATAATTAATTTAAAATAATTTTATCATAATAATAATTATTCATCTAATTAAAAAACAAATATTTATGAGTTAAATGCATTTTTTACTTATAATTTAATACATTTATAATTAAATTAAGTTATGATAATTAGTTAAATTAGCTAATTTAAAAAAATTGTTAAAAGATTATTTCAAAAATAAATATTTAAAATTTTCTTAATAATTATGATATAATAATATTTGTAACATCTCAATTTTATCATATAATATTTTCTAGAAGAAAAAAAGAAGAAGATAAACACTACATGATAAAAAAAAGTAACGATAAATAAATGAAGAGAATGAAAAATTAGAAAATAAATGAGAAAAGAAAAACAATTATATTATAACACACAAATTTATTTCCACTTATTGAATTTGATGGACAGATAATAAACTGTTCTAGTTGGTAAATAAATTTAAAGAGATAAGTAATTTTTCTTTTTAATTGGATTATAAATGGGGATTGATTCCAATATATATTCAATGAAACTATTTAAGAATAAAATGTATTATTTAATTGTGAATATGACTCGTGAGTTATTTCAAATAGAAAAAAATTGATTAAAATTAAAATCAAAGTTACTTATATTAATGACTAATCTTTTTGAAAATGAAGGGATTATAATCTCTTCCAAAATTTTGTAATTTTCATGTATATTTATGATAATTTCAAACATAATAAACATTAAATATATTTATTTATATATTTATAATTTTCTCTTTTTATCTTTTATCTTCTTCTCTCCTTTATCTTTATTTATTATTTATTAATAACATCAGCATACATATTTAATGAGAGTTATTAAGATATTTAAATAAATTTTTTGAAGTAATTTTTTGTTGAAAGAATTTGCCATGAAGTTGTTTAATTCTTATTTTTTTTATAGTTGTTTAATTAAATAATTTATAAAAATAAATAAAATAAAAAATAAAATAAAAAAGAGAATAAGAAAAAATGAGTTTTTTAAAATTCATTAATTTTTTTATAAAAAAAAATCAATAAATTATTTAAAAATAATAAATGAATCCTATTAAAAATATTCTAATAAAAATTCACAGGAATTTTTAAAATAAATATCATTTATTTAATTAAATCTCACAAATTCTGATATATTTTAACCACTCTAATTAAGAACCCACATTATTAACAACTCTTCTAGATCATTACAATTAAAAATGTGTTAAATAACTTTATCTAATTTTAAATAAGTCAAGTGTTTAAGTTCTTTAATTAAATAATATTTTATCTATAAAAATTATCATAAACAGAAAATATCCTTAATATTATTACACTTAAACCCATTTCAATGGACCTTTTCAATACATTAGAATAAGAAAATAATAAATTTTTCCATAATTTTGTTAATAATAGGAATAATATAAAATAATTTTATTATTTTGTTTGAACACATGTTAATCACTGAAGGTTTTAAGACAATTATTATATAAAAAAGAAACTTTTGTAATAATAATAATAATAATAAAAAAATCTTCATATGTGGTCAACATTTTAAAATGAAAAAGAAAAAGTGACAGAAGAAAATAAGGATAAAAGTAAAATAATTTATGATATTTTATTGTTTACAGAAACACATATTTTGTTAACTTTCGTCCTGAATCTCTCTATAAAGCTTTTGCAATAAAAGTATTGACTTTTATAATGTGCTTAAATTATAAATGCTATTAATTATTAACTTAAATTTATCTATTCTCTTTAATTTTATTAACAAAAGTAACCTATAGTTTTTAATTTTAAAGCTACAGATATAAACATTTATTTTTTAATATATATCTCTTAAGAATAAAATCATAGACATATTTAAGATGTGGTGGTAGATGTTGATGATAGTCCCTCTAATTAAGTATTTTTAGAGATAAAATTGTGATGGATTTAAGTTTTAAAATAATATATATATATATATATATATATATATATATATATATATATATATATATTATTTTTAATTTGAGAATTGACGAAGAAATGAAGTGTTTGCAATTTGACTGAACGTTTTTGAGTGATTGGTAAGTAAATGAAGTGCTTATAATTTGACTGGGAACGTTTAGCTGTAATAAAAATAAATAATTAATAACATCTTTATTGTGTTGACTAATTATCATTTATTACACTAAACTGATCCAGAGCCATCTTTGTGACAACACCAAGTGTAAATGGCCACCATCAGTTACTTCCATCATACATAATTTGTAGGCATGTGGCATCCATCACTGAAAGTAACTGAAACCATTTCAAAATTAACAAAGCAAGTGTAGAGATTAATCAAAATTATATTTATTATTATTATTATTTTATTATTTTATTATATAAAAACTCACACTCTCTCTTGTTTATTCTCACTTTCATCTCTTGCCTCTCCTATTCTCTCTCTCATCTTCTTCAATTGTTTTTCTTGTTCTCTGTTGCTTTGCGCAGAGACATAATGGCAAATAGGAAATGGTTGAGCATTGTGGTAGATGGAAGCACAGCCATGGGTCCTTTCTGGCGTAAGATTGTTTCAGAGTATCTCGTAAACATTGTCAGGTATGAAAATTCTTGCTCTACTACATGTTTCATGCACAATAATTTGCATTATATCGTACGCACTATTGTTTGTTTTATGCTATATATACAATGTTTGTGAACTAGTTGTGACCATCATTTGTCACACTTCATTTATAGATTTCTAATTTTTACCACAAGCTTTGCCTTTTATGGGTCCAACTAAGTTTTCATTAAAAGTTTGGTGATTTTTTTTTTCTAGATGTGACCTTGGAGGAGAAAATAAAAGGTGAAAAAAAAAAATTCATTTTAAGAGATAAAGGTTTTATTTTTATGTGTTTCACACAAGTACTTCGTACATCCACTTGTCTAATGCTAGATCTATAATTTTGTGAATAATTTTTCTTGGATCGTAAGGGAATTGTTAAACTGGTTTGGTTGAAAAATCCGTAAGGCATCTTAAAAAAAAAAAAAACCTTGTGACTCAGATCCATGCGTGTTTTGTGCGTAACATATATATTTTATATATTTTTTTTAATTTTTTAAAATAGATTAAATGGTCTAAGTCACTTAGTTTCATACAAGACTTGAAACTCGCGGTCCATTTAGAATATAAATAAAATGGAATGTCAACACATTCCATTTATTTTCACACTTTACCTTGTATTTGGACTGTATTTAGATTAGGGTGGAGATTGGAAAAAGTGAATTTAAAGTGACTTTACTGAATTTATGAGATTTTTTGAATTAAAAGAAAAAGAATGAATTTAAAGATATTTAAGTGAATTTATTATAACTTTTTTGATTAAATATATAATAATTAAATGTAATGATCAAATTATCTTATCTCGTAGAATAAGTAAATTAAGTAAAAATTAGAAGATGAGAAATAGTTAACCAGAATAATTCAGATATTTGTTATTCAACCATTCACTTTTTCAGAACCTCGATGTGAATTTGTTGGTGTAAAACTCGCCTTTTTATCACCCAAAATCCACTTAAATCAACATAAACAAATTAATAAATATCCCCATAAATCAACTCATTCAAATCCTAGATCTATATAAATAAGAAAAAGCAAACAAAACATAGTGAGTGAAACTAAATTAAGATGAATTTGAATTTTAAAATAAATTTAATAAAACTTTTAAGAGTATTTCTAGTAAGAATTATTTAAAAAATTCTTAAAAATAAAAATTAATATTTATAGTTCCATATAAATAAAGTGAAGTTGTTTATATAAATAATTTTTACATTTAAACTCTCATATTAAAATATAATATTTATATCATTTTAATATAGTTTTACTTTAAGGTTTTCTTAAAAACATATTTTTCTAAACTAATTTTTATTAATAATATAAACGAAAAAAAATTATGTTTAACATGATATTGTATTGGTAGTAAAATTGTTAATTTTAAAATATTTATTTATAAAATATAATTTAATTTAAATTTAAGTACAGTTTAATTATAAATAATGATAAAATTAATATATTATATGTAAGAATTAAATTAGTCCAATTTAAAATCCGAATTGGATGAATTTGGAACATAAACATTTCTATCAAAATTTTGGATTCTAAAATTACAAATTCGGACCAGCCTCCAAACACAAAACAAAATAACAAGAGAATATAGGCAAACAAAATTACAAAGTTTATGGGATTTCATGTTTTAAAATGAAAACTGACATGAATTAAAGTGCAAGTATGACTTTTCTTTAACTAAAATTTAAAGACAGTTTATTTTCAGAAAACGTTTTATTTCTTCTAATTTTTATTATAAAACTGGCACTTTTCTTAATTTGTTTTTGAAACACGAAACAAAGTATAAATTTGGAGATGAAGAGATAAATAATGAAAATTGTGACATTTTTCAAATTAAAATTAAAAGTATTTGTCAGCATACTCCATACTTTGGTTTTCTAATTCTCTTTATTCTTGATCACGCAGATCTAGAATGTATAACTGTAGGTTAAAATTATATGCAGAATCCAAAAATTACTTTACTCTCCCACCTATGAAAATAATTTTATTTAGTATGTCACATCGCGGTTAGTATTATGGATAGAATAGGATAAATTGATAAATCTCACAATCAGAAATAAAAAAATTGATAAATATTTTTATATGAAAAATTATCAAATATAATAAAGGAATTAACATAAACAAAAGAAAAATATTTTTTACTCAATAAAAGGGAAACTACAATTTCTCTCTAAATTACAACCTCCTTGAATACAAGGAGAGAACAATTATACACTAATTATTATAATAGGGGAATACACTCACTTTAGAACACTTTTGTTTCTTATTATCTTGTTGATGAGTTATAATTTTAAGATAGAAGCATGGATGGTTTAATTTGCTCAATCTAACATTTAAATATGTAACCCTTTGTGAATTGAATGTATTTTCTCAATGATCATTATGCAGGTCCTTCTTTGGCAACCCAAGAGGAGAGGTAATTTTTATAATTTTTCTGCATTTAAATTTTCCATTTCACGAACTTGTAAACTTGCACATGTTACAAAAATCAGTTTATTTGAATGCTAAAATTCAAGGTTTCTTGTTTCCTTTATACACCTTATCACTTATTCATTACTTGACTGAAAATTAAAAGAATTCCATATTTTTCCTATGTTAATGTGTTTGGGTATGAAGGCTTCAAAATATAGTATGATTTTCAAATCCATAGATAAAGTCCAAGATAATATCATTATTAGGAAATTACTTGACTGATGGATCAGGAGGGAAAGAAGAAAATTAAGAAACTTTCGTCAAGAAGGAATATATACATGCAGGATTCAGTTAGAGGCTTCACTGCGTAAAGAAGGAAAAACTACATAATATGCCATTTACTTTACTTGTATCTGGTCTCTCTAAGTGGAATTCTTTTCAGAAATATGAGCTTCAATGGAAAACATATTCTGAATTTGCTCAAAATTAAGGCCTGGTATATATAGTAAGACTAGAGTATAAGGGTTGATTTTTAGTGGAACAATGGACCTTTGTTTTCATGTTATTGATACACTAGTAATTCCATATTTTTGTTTATCTTTTGCCGTATTGATAAAAGTGAAGATATTTTGCCTTACCATGCATGTACTTTTTGCTGTTTACAGGGAGTTTATCGTAATTGTGAGGTTGGTTTAATAATCTACAACACCGGTCCAAGCATAGGTACTTTTCATGTTCTATCTTACAAATTATCATAATTATTATTTATGTTTATGTAAGTAATATTTTAGAATTTTTAGAAAAATATAGAAATATAAGATAAGATGTATCGTGATTAGAATTATCTCTAAAATTTTAGAAGATTCTAAAAAGGAATGATTCATCTAAATATAGGTAGTAACTCCTTTATTCATATCACAAATACTTTCAAAATCAATTATTATATTTTATCACTAAACTTATTTCCTATACCCACATTAGTACAAAATAACAAATCACCTTTCCTATTCTTCATGAAATACTAACAATGACATTAGAGTTATTTTTCTTTATCAGTTGAATATAGATACAATATTCAACTATCTCAAAAAGTTCTATCATATTCGTATAAATCTCAATAGTTAATGTCAATTATTTTTCATCTATTCTTATACGTTCTCTTCACAAGAGAAAAGTATAACTTTTGGAGCATTAAAATGAAAACATTTTTTTGCTCTAAGACTTGTGAGATTATAGAAGATGACTTCATTATCTCGATAGACATTTTCACAATAACTGTGACTCAGAAGAAGGAGTTGAAGATTCAATGACGTTATATATATTTCATAACAAACTCTGATTAATGCAATTTTTTCAAGAATAATGGATGCTACAAGTTTCAAAGAGGTGTGAAGTACACTACATGAGAAGTTTTAATGAAGTGTAAACCATTAAACTTCAAACTCTAAGATGTGAGTTTGAGTTATTTAACATGAAGGAATATAAGATCTCTAAGGCTTATTGTACTAAAATAAATGAGATATTAGTCAAATGAGAGCATGTGGAGAATTTTGACAAATCATAATGCCAAGAGTGTAAGAAATTTTGACCATTGTGGTAGAAAAACAAACATCAAGCAAATTTTGCTGAAGATCATGACCTTGAGTAACATCTTTTTCATGCTATCTATGATTCTAGTTATGAACTAAGTGGAAGCTGATACTTAGATAATGGATGTAGTAATCATATGGCTAACGACAAAAACTTCTTCAAGGATATTGACAACTCTATCAAAGTGAAAGTTCAATCAAGAAATGACACCCAAGTGGAGTCAAAAGAAAGAAACACCATTGTGGTAGAGACAAATCAATGTACGAGACTCATAAAATATGTTTTGGTTGGTTCCTAATCTTAAAGAAAATTTCTTGTGCATTAGTCAAATGATGGTAAAAAGCCTTTACTCTTCACTTCAAAGGAGATACATGCTGAATCAATAATAATAAAGGACGAGAGATAGAAGAAGTTAAAATGGAGAAAATAAAAATAGAATATTATTGATATTGTTATGCATGTCCAAGTTGATGATTCATAGTTTTGACATCAAATGTTTAGACACTTCAAAACCCTAAGCTTCAAAGTTATTATATAAAACTAATACGATGAGAGGTCTCCCATACCTAAAAGAGAATAATGAAGCTTGTAAATGTCTTATAAAAAAATAATACAAATTACCATTTTTAACTTACAAAATATGTAGAGCAGATGACTTGTTAGAGTTAATAAATATAAAAAATTGATGGATTGATGAGACAATGTTACTAAACAATAATAGTTATTTTATTATTTTTAGTAATGATTTCTCTAGAGAGGATTGAGTTTACTTCATCAAAGAAAAATAAAAAAATCTTTGAAATATTTAAGAAGTTTCAATCTATTGTTGAAAAACAAATTGGGAGACCTAAAAATTTTAAGAAGTGATCAAGACAAAAAATATAACTTAAACAAGTTCGATAAGTTCTGTAAAGATGAAATAATATAGAGACAATTTGCAATTGCATGTATACCATAATAGAAAGATATGTTAGAAAGGGAGAATCATACACTCATGGAGATGATAAAATCAATACTGAAGGAGAAAGATTTTCTGAATACTTTTTGGACAAAAATAGTTTATATTGTTGTGTAAATACTTAATAGATGTCTAACTAAGACAATCCAAGATACAACTTCAATTTAAGCTTAGAGAAAAAAAGTCATGAGTTAAGCAATTAAGAGTTTACAAATCTTTCTATTATATACATGTATCAAATAAGAAAAAAAAAAACAAATAAAAAGGCAAGACCATTATTGGGATATAACACATTTATAAAAGGGTATAAAATTTACAACATGCAAATAATGAAACTCACCATCAATGTAGACATTGAAGTTGATAAAATCACTTCTTGAAATTAGGAAGAAGAAAAAATAATGAAAAACAATATCTTTGTTCTAGTATAATCATCTCAAGAAGAAGCTTAAGCAATAGTAGAAAATTCAAGTACATTTCCTTTATTTACATAACATATTTTTTTACTAGAGTCTACTTCTAGGCAAGTTAGATCCTTGGTGAATATATATATATATATATATATATATATATATATATATATAATTATGAAATATGATAAGCCTGAATATTATTAAAGAGGTAAAAAAGTAAGAATTTTGGATCAATGCAATGAAAAAATAAATTAAAATGATTGAAAAGAAGAATACATGAAAACTGGTAGACCATCGACATAGAAAAGATGTCATAGAAGTTAAATGAGTTTATCAAACAAAGATCAATCATGATGAAACTATACAAAAGAATAAGGCTATGTTTGTGACAAAAGATTATTCATAGAAGCTACCCAAGTTGACTAAAATTAGTCATTTGTCCCAATTGCATGCTTATACACAATTGGAACTTTAATAGTTGTTGTAGCACTAAAAGGATGGAATATTTGCCAATTAGATACCAAATCAGCCTTTCTAAAAATGTTCTTGAAGAAGAGATATATATGGAACAACTACAAGACTCTACAAGCAAAGGAAATGACATTGAAGTGATCAAATTAAGAAAATGTCTACATGACTTGAAGTAACCTCTTAGAAATAACAAACTTGATTAGTACTTCACTGAATAAGAATTCAAGGGGAGTAGGAGTGAGTCAATATTGTACATTAAGACTCAAGGTTCTTATGATACTTTTATAGTCTCTATATATGTTGATGATCTTATCTTCACAGAAAATAATATAAAGAAGACATTATGAAAATATTTAAGATGAATAACCTTGCTTTGATGAATTATAGCATAAAGGTAAGACAACAAAAGGAAGAAATAATTATTTCTCAAAAGAAATACATATAGATGTTATTAAAGAAGTTCAAGATGTCTCGTTGCAAGTTTGTGGTTACTCCACTCATGAAAAGATGATGGAGTACCAAAAGCTCACACATCACACTATAGGAGTTTGATCAAAAGTTTACTATATCTTACAACTATATAGCTAGACATCATGAATGCTATAAGTCTTCTGTTAGGATATTCACTTTGGAGCAGTAACGGTAATTTGGTACTTTGGTACAAAGTCATGGCCAATTCATGGACAACATGAAGAACATGTCAAGTTATGCTTACTACGACAATGATTTTTCTCTTAAACATCTAAAATGTAAGCAACAGTAGCAAAGTCAACAATGGAGGCCAAGCGTGTAACAACAGATCAAACTACAAGTCAAGTTATATGACTTCGAAGAATACTAAAAAAATGGAAGAATAATAACATGGATATTATCTACTACACAACAAGTCAATCATAACAATGATAAAAAATTCAGTCCATCATAAAAAAACAAACACAGTTATTAAACAAAATACTGTTCTATAGAAGATCAAATCATATATATATTTACCAAGACACTAAGGTGTGAAGTTATAGTCAAAGTTATCAAAATTTATATAAATGAGGAGTGATAAAAAGTGATGGAAATTTCTAGAAAGATCAAAATGATTAAATTCTACAAATTATAAGTACTATAATTTGATATAAGTAATATTCTAAAACTATTAGAAAAATCTAAAAATTAAAATATAATGTAGAGAAAATTATCTCTAATCTCCTAGAAAATTCTAAAAAGGAATAACTCATAATAAGGTGTTGGCTCCTTGTAACACAATCACTTTAAAAATCAATTAGAATCTTCTCTTATTATTGAGACTTTCTCCTACTTATCCAACTCTTAAAAAAAAAAACTATTTACTACATTCCATCTCATCACTAATACTCAAGTTAATTCAAAACAATAAATGACCTTTTCTATTTTTCCTAAAATAATGACATATAATCGTTATTATTGCCTTTCCACGATATAGCATAATACCAATTATTTATACCATTAAATTTTTAGGAAACACACATTATATACAGGATGTAAGTTTTTAGTTTAGAACTTCAGATGTACACATAATTATATATGTGAGAAAACTTATCATTATAAATCTCTATCTCTAATACACACTCAAGGTAATAGACTGAGACAAATCCTTAATTTTTCTTTTATTTCCCAGGTAGGAACGTCCAATATATCAATTGGACAAACAACATGGAACAGTTTTTGGCCTTGCTGCCGTTTTTATCTTTCCAAGGGCATAGTCTGAATCATACCGCAGCAGAAGGTTTGGCTGAAGCTTTAGGGGTATGTTAACGTATATATAAACGTACCTTTGGTCCTATTCCATTATTGATTTGATCATCTTACATATGATATGAGATGTACATGCAATTACTGTAACAATGGAAATAACTATATATATATATGAACCTTGGACTATGCAGATGTTCCCAAGAGATATAATGACAGAACAAGAATACTTCCAGTGTGAAAGGCACTGCATTCTTGTGGCAACGGGTGAACCTGTTGCTGAGAGAATGTTGGTGCCTTTGCCTAGGGTTCATCAAGGAAAATTTATACATGGACAAATCAGGATTTTACTTGCCAACTTTTTAGACGTGGCAAAAATGTTTGTCCCGGTAATTTCTCATAACCCAGTCTTAATTTTTCCTTAATCAAAACCTTTTATTCATCACTCACTATGAATGTTACAACATGCATGCAGCTGAGGATAAGCCTTTCTGTCATAACTCCAAGGCTACATCCACACTTTGTATCGATTTTCAACGAGGTAAAGATTTATTTCTCATGCATAACTTCAATTCACTAATTATTTGTTGGTTTCCATGAGATATTTATCTTTGTTCTCAGTGAATGAGACTATGTTCGCACTAGAAAAGATGTAGTGGCTTGATCTGCTTAATTATTTATAGTATGCTAGTATTGATGATGAAATTGCAACTATGCAACTAAGGTAGAAATAACATAATTTCAACGGAGCATTGCATTCGCAGATATTATCATATCTTTTCATAATATTGATAACTATAGAAAGGCATGAATTTTAAGTTGGTGAGAGAATTGTGACAACTTATACCATGTTAGGAACAAAATATGCTTGAAGGTTAAAGTCGTGAGTGAAAATACTTAAATATTTATATGCCAGTGCAACCTAAATGAGACAGTTCAAACTTGATTTATTATATTTCCACTAAATTTCAAGCAAAAATTAATGGACAAGTTCGTCAAGCTACCAAGTAATTCAATACATGAAGCAGTTAACAAGTTTTTGTACATACATGAACAAAGCTAATCCCGTTAAAACTAATTTTCCAATCATCTATCCTGCGAATATCAGTGCATTTATTGTTATATGTTTTGGTCAGTATATAGTTTTTTCTCCTTTTGCAGGGAAATTCTCTAGAGAAGAGCACTCCCATCATGGACTATGGAAATGGTCAGATTACTGTTTTATTGTCTAGTAATTTTAAGGAGGCAAAGAATTTCAATTACAACAAAGGAATAGTAGAATCAATGAAAACCACAACTTCTACCCCACCCACAATTTTCAATAACGATCGTCAATTGCAAGGTTTTCTCTTTCTCACTCTATAAATGTGTGTTTGTTATCAAATTTCGTATTTTTCTTGTCTTGCTTCCTACTTATCTTAATTTTAACTAACGATCATCACTCTTCTCTCTCTCTCAATAAATATGCATGTGTTTGTCATCAATTTTTATCTATTTCTTCTCACCATGTTTCCCCAATATAAGAGAACCTATGTTGCTCCTTTAGTCTTATTAACCATACCTCTCATTAGTTTTTTTTTTCTTCTTGAAAAAGCCTCAAGAAATATTATTAATTACAAGTTTCATGAGTAATATTCGTTAAAAAGAAACGTTCCTATTCACTTCCCTCCCGTAATAATGGTTGGATAAAATTAAATGAAAAATAATAGATTTTTTAAATTACTTGAATAGTTAATATTATTCTAGGTGGTTATTATTATGATTCTAGGGAGTTGATTTAGAGTTTTAGAAAGTCAAAATTTTAGTTTTTAAATACTTAAATATAATTCTTATTTGCTACATGACAAAAAACCAGTAATATACAATTTTTTTAGAAATTTATTGTTATCAAATTAGTATCAAGAGTTAGGGTTTGAGTTTTTGAACGTGAGAGAGCTTGAAAAGAGGGATGATAGGTTTAACAAGCATTGTGCCCTTGTCTCAGTTGACAAAAACAGATAACTATGATAATTAAAGTATCTACATGAAGATTCTTCTCAGATCTTAGAATAATTGAGAGGTGGTCGATGAAGGTTTCGAAGAACTAGCAAGTATTGCAGGCATTTTAGTATCCCAAAACAAGGTGCTGAAAGAGATGCATGGGCAAGATAAGACGACATTGTACATGTTGTATTAAGCGGTTGATGGGTCTGGGTTTGAAAAGATAACAAGTGCTAAAAATTCAAAAGAAGTGTGGGAGATTTTGGATAAAGCGTACAAGGGTGGTGACCGAGTGAAACAAGTTAGATTATAAACACTTCATAGTGAACTTGAGATCACGAGATGAAGGAGTCAAAAGGAGTTTTCGAGTATATCACTCCGGTTGAGACCATGGTGAACCAACTTAATTGGAATAGAGAGATGCTCACTGATGGTTGATTTGTGGAGAAGATTTTGATGTCATTGACTGGTGAATTCGAAAACATTGTGTGTGTGATAGAGGAGTTGAAAAATTTGTCCGATCTCATAGTTAGGAGCTGATTGGGTCTCTTGAAGTCCATGAGCATAAGAAGAAGAAGAGGGAAAAGACAAACTTGTAAGCGCTCCAAAGTGAAACATCTCTTAGAGAAGAGAAATCTCTCTATTATCAAAACAATTGTAATAGAGGACGAGGACATGGAGGCCATGGACAAAACAGTGAGGAGAAAGACTCAAACCAACAAAATTGGTGTGCTAGAGGATGTGGTCATAAAGGAGGTTGACATCGACCTATAATGTTGAGTACTTTAAGTGTGACAAATATGACTATTATGTAAATGATTGTTACCTAGACAAGTGTTACAATTGTGATAAGATTGAGCATTTTGCAAAAGAATGTTGAGCTGAGAAAAAGGTGGAAGAGACAAATCTTGTGGAAGAGTTAGAAGAAATAATGTTGATGATTGATTCTAGGTCGGGAAACAATGATGGAGCATATCACATATCGGAATGATGTGAAGGTACTATTCACCACTCGATATGATACCTAAACATAGGTACAAGTAATTACACGTGTGAGGACGAACACTTGTTTAAAAAGTTGAAGAAAGTAGATATTGGATATGTGACTTTTGGTGATGCTTCGAATGTCTCGGTAAAAGGCTGAGACACGACCCACTACTTGTAGAAGGATGACTTAGTCGGATTGATTCAGGATGTGTACTACATTCTCGATCTCAAAAATAATATTTTGAGTACGATATAATTGATGGAGAGAGGCTACTCGATATTCATGAAAGACCGAACATTACAATTGACGGACAAACATGAAAGGATGATTGTCCAAGTTGAGATGGAGAATGACAAAATGTATAAGTTGAACTTGAGAAACATTCATGAGAGATGCTTGAAGCTTAACGTAGAAAACATGTTGTTGAAGAGGGATCATCAATTTGATCACTTGCATTTTTTTGGTCCAACCGAGCTGATCCATGGTGATGATCATAATGTTGGTCGTGAAGAAAACCAAGATCTAATGATGAACAAAGTTAAGGACAAAACAACAGAGTCGGTAGAGTGTGGACCTTCCATTCTTTTCAGTCCAAAATCGAACTTGGTCAAGCTAAGTCCTAGTAGTAGATTTTAAAATGATCATGTCCGAACTTATTCATCATTGTATTGTTTTAAGAATAAAGCTACTTTGAGAGATAAATATACAATGGTGAGTCCAGAATAGTTGACGTATCTTGGGGTTGGAAGGTGAAAAAAAAGAGAGAATAAGAAGCGAGTTGTTATGGATGAGAAAATCCAAGCTATAGAACGTAATGATACGTGGATGATGATTGAATTGTTAAGTTATGCTCAACCTATTGATGTGAAGTGAGTATTCAAGAAAAAAAGAAATGAATGGTTGGTATTAAGTCAGACCCAAAATAAAATATAAAAAAATATTAAGTTGATTAGATCGATCTATAACTGATCTAATTAATTAAAAAGAAACATTTTATTTTAATAGATAACTTTATTAAGTAATATTAAATATTAATTAGAATATTTTAATTTTCCATAAATAGTTAATATTATAATTTTAAGCCATTATTATTATTATGACTTTAGAAAGTTAATGTTAACATTTCATAAATATCTAAATATAATTATAATTTACTACGAAAGATAATTAATTTTAAAAAATTTTTGTTATCAATAACGTATAAGTTATACCAATACTTATCCACAACCTTTAAGAATAGTAGCACTTACCAATCTATAATATTCTAAGTAATTTTTTTTTTTCTATTTATAGGTTTGATTTACAATCTTCAGTGAACAGTGGCTGTTAATATACAATATTTTAAATAGTTTTTTATTTTTTTAACTGATAATCTCTATGCTAATAATCTATTGTTCTCTATATTTTCCCTATTGAAAACATTAGTGTTACTGATCAAGGAGACATCACTAATAAGTTGCATTATTCTCTTTTAGGAAATTGAGATCTTTTATCGTATTCTTTTGATATAATAATTTTAAAAGCATGAATATTAAGGTAATCAAATCTTTGCTCTCAAAGTTATGAGCGGTTAATTTGTACTTTCACGACCATGTCAAAGCTTTGTCTCATGTTTAGCGGTAAACACCTGTTCTTTTTTTTTTTTTTTTTACTTGACAAATCTCTAACTTTTTATTGTTATATAATTTACACTTCGTAGTGGACAGTTTAACCTTTCTTCGTTATTTGACAACTGTTTAAAAAAAATCTCTGAGATTGCAAATTAATAGCATGTCAGTAACAAATCATGTGCCTTTCATTATTACTATGATAGCGATGCATATGCCTTTTGATTCAACGACAGTGTCGTTCCTCATTCAATTTTTTACTTTGACAAATTCTTTAAGATATTTTTCTATCTTTGATTATGTAATTGTTGTTATTTCTATCCAAATATTCGTTTTCACCTTTTTTTTTTTTTTCACTACCGGAATCTTAGGTAATATAGAAAAGATTTTGCTCACCATCATGCTCTTTTCAAAGTTTTTTATTTTTTTTATGCTGATTTTTGTTGGGACAATACTTTTTCACATATTTAAATTTCTTATATTGACAACATCATGGTTTTTTATAATGCCACAATGGACAATACTTTATAATTTTATAATATTGTAGATAATTAGATTTATTTTTAACTTTAGAGTTATCAAAACTTATGATTATAATTTCTAGATTTATTACTTGTATGCATTTCTCTCACGACACATTTTTAACAGTCTTTATTTTTTTTTTTCTTCGAAACTTATAAGTTATTTTTATCAAATTTAACAATAACAACCTATATTCTTTCTTCCTTCCTACCTCATAGTTTACCTTTCCACATGCATTTCTACCATGGTTTATCATATTTTTCTAGCCATTTAGTTACCTTCTCATCTTTCTCATCACACCATACCCCTGTTACCTTCCCACATCTTTTTAGCAACCTGTTCAGCATTAAAAATGAATGAAACTGCACTTTATCGTATAAACTATGCTGTTATTATACCCCTTCCAAACTCCATTTGTTCTCCCCGAAATTTTCCTTCACATTCATTTTCAATTTTTGTGACCTCTATATAGTTTGTATCTCTTGCCGTTTAGATATTAGTGGAGAATAATGTATAAAGGAATGTAGAGAAAATTAGCTATGGTGAGTACATTCTTCCCATATTGCTATCAAAAGTTGCATCTCTTGATGTTTAGATTTCTGTTTTCCTTATATCACTGCAATTGTTTAAGAAAATTCTTCTATTTCATCTTTTTTTATTGTTTGATGTTTTCAGGAAACCTATTCTCCCCAAGTAGCATGAATGTTGGGCAGCCAAGCTTGAACATTGGGCAGCCAATCTTGAACATTGGGCAGCCAAGCTTGAACATCAGACAGCCAAGCTTGAACATAAGACAGCAAAGCATGAATATGGGACAACCAAGCATTCAGGGTTTCCAAAATGTTAGACATGTACGTATAATCTTTTTTCTTTTTTCCCTTGAAGTTTACTTAGCTAGTAAACCTCCAGGAGTTCAAATTCTTGTGGTGATTTCCATATAATTTGTGTTCATTATTTATTTATTTTTCATTTACCCTCTGAACATGAAACACTTTCTTGTTCAGGAGTCTGCAAGCAAACTACCCCTTGATGTCTCACAGGCAACACCGAATGTGATGAATGCTCCTCCTGCCGGTTGCTTCGTGCCAATGAATTCATTTGAAGAAATAATGTCACTGCTAAGTGATGACAATAATAATCATCAAGAAGATCAGATAAGCAAAATATCCAAGACATTGGAAGAGGAGGACTCTTTAGCATACATTTTTCAACTAGATCAGCCGATTTCCTTAGAAGAGCTTCTTGGACAAGATCAACCACTGTCTTCTAAGACTCAAGTGGGAGGAGAATCATCACAAGTGCTGAGGGATATTCCACAAAGTGTAACAAGAGACACAACTTCAACTACTCAACTGACCTCAAACTCATCTGAGATGATGAACATTTCAATTTCACCAGGGATAGTAGTATCCAATGCATGCACTTCCATAGTTGGAGAAGGGTCTTCAAATGGGCTAGCTCAGGAACTAGGAGGCAGCATTTTCAGCTCAGAAAACTGTTTAAATTCTAGTTCGTCATTGCCTCAAAACAATCCAAAATGTTGGCCTGCGGGATCAAATGCATTGTATCCTTCACAAGCTGCTGCTTCACTTGGTGATTCCATCTTCCTAAATACAACAGGGAACTCAGTCACTCAGTTTGAATCACCAAGCTTCCCAGTGCATCAATATGGTTATCCTAGCACTAATGTTATTACTAGTTCAGGTACTGGTTCTCTATATGGAAACGCACTAACTCAATTTCTATCGCCAAACTCCCCAGTGGGTCCTTATGATTGGCCTAGTGTTGGTCCTAATGGGAGTGGCATTGTTGGTGACGGTGCTGGTGCCAGTAGCCTTCTTGGAAATTCAATCTCTCAATTTCAATCACCAAGCTCCCCTCTGCATCCTTATGGTAGTGCTAGTTCTGGTGGAATTGCTTGTGCTAGTGCAAGTACTGATGCTATTGTTGTTTCTTCTGCTGCTAATGCCAATGCTAATGCTCATGCTACTGCTTATGGTAATCATCAACAATTTGCAAGGCAACATCAGTTCGAAATGAGCGGGATCGATCCACTAGGTGTACCTTCTGCAATTGTAGCAAACCCTTTGGCTTCTCCTGCGGCAATGGTGCCTCAATATAATCAGACACAGGTTTTCCCTCGCCAACCATCAACGGATTTTAAGGACTTCGTGCCAGCGTGGGAGGTAAACGAACATGTCTCATTGTTTCATAAATGACCAACATAATAATATGCTATGATAATTTCAAAACTTAATTGGAACATATTTCCCTTTCCCTGTATGCACTTCAACTGAATCTATATGTAGATAATTATTTGTTTCCAAAATGGCTTCTCAGTTCCTTGATTGAAGCCCCGTTTAATACCACTCCAGAAAACCAAACAATTTAAGGCATCAACCATAAACCATCTCTTCCGTTAAATTTTGTCTGGATAACAAGATTTGTACACTATTAACATTAATTACACCATTTTGTTAACCTATTTTTATGTTCTTTTCTTTCTAATTGCATGGTTTATTTTCATAGGTCATTTATCTTGTGTGATTTTATATATCATGCACCTTCTGAATGTAGAGTAACTTAAACCGTTTTCTCAATCCTAATTATATTATACTTTCATTTAAAAAGCCTAGATTGCACGCATAGAATTAACCTACACAGTTTAATTGAATACAAATATAATATCTAAGAAGAATTAGACTGTGATAAGATAAGATTAAACACAATTGTTTTCAATCATATTAAGATAAATAAATACGAACACATCCTAATAAATAATTGTTTTAATATAGCTGGTTATGCTAATACCTATATAGTATCAGCATTGGTAATTAAGTAATTATTTATTAAATTATTGTTGGTTTATAACAGATATATTTGATGTAAGATGCAGGTATATTTTGGATCGCGTTGCCTTATTTGCAATTTATCACTATTAAATATTTGTTTTAGTCAATAAGGGGTTTGAAATATATATTCCTTTAATATTAAATTTGATTTTCTTGTGTATTTAGGGATATCTGGTTGGAAATATTCACCCATTCTGCGCATTCTTTAATCAAGCTCAGGTATGATATAATTGATTATTGAAGAAGAAATCATGCATAGTTAGAATGGCTATTTTGTGATATACCAGAAGGGGGATTATATTCTTGTATATATTTTTTATTTGATAAGAAACCTGCGTTCTAATAATGAGAATTGAGTAAAAAGTAGCTGAAGTTTTTCACTATTCTTTTCCTTGTGAAACAGGCCTGGAGGAAACAGACATCACCTGGCACGTAAGTGGATTCTCTTTTGTCTAAACCTAAATTTTGTTGTCATTGCGTTAGTTGCAAAAACTAACATTTTCTAACGGGAAAAATAAAATTAAAAATTATATACAAGAATACAACAAAGATATTTAAAATTCTTTATTTAGAATTCTATAAATCAGGTCCTTACAACACTAGTTTACACATGAATGTAAATGGAAATCTTAAAATACTCACATGATTGATTAAACTGATAATTGGGCAATGCAGGCTTACATATAACTGGTCCACTACGCTGGAGATCGGCCTCTACGTACCCAGAAAGGCTGTCATGCATACAATGAGGTAATTTCTGGCATGATGCTATTGTTGTCTCTTTTTTTGAATAATTATCATTATCTCTTGTAAGGAAATCTTATACATTTTTCAATAACATTTACACTTAGGACTTATGGTGGAGTCCTTGATGACGTGTTCTTTGAAGTAACTCAGTTCGACAATCTTGATCTGTACTACCATCTCATGAGTAACAATCTGGTTAGTCATATTGATTCCCTCATAATGTTAAATTTTAACATAAGAAAATATTTTCATTTTAACGTTACATCTTTGTGCAGTGCGCAAAAATATCTCTCCCTTCTCATACTTTAATGTTATCTACAACTGATAGCAAGCACTGCTACTTGGGATCAATTTTCCCAGGGGTGAGTAAGATGCCAATCTTCACATTATTATATTCTCTTGGTTAATTTTAAGTTGTCTTTTGATCGAACATTTATCTATTTACCGTCACAGGATGCAGTATTTGTTGAACCTCTCTAAAGTCTGATTTTGGCTCTCAAGAGCCAAAGCAGCCCCGAGTGATGGAGAAAAGGTTAAAAGAGCTGCTTAAGCGAGAAGGTATGACATCAGAGGAAGAGAAAGAGACAGATCATGATCGTGCTGCAACTTCACTTGTTATTTCCTCAGCTGTGTTCAGCTTTAGATGCACTGAAAATTAAACACATTAAGGACACTCATTATATTGAACACAAATTAATGTAGCTATCAGTGACGTTCCAAGTTGAACTTGATGGAAATTGCCGTTGGTGAGAACATGGCGGGAGAAGAGTGAAGCAAAGGATGAAAATGGTCGTACCTGATGCTGTAGCAATGAGATAGAGGTAGCAACTCCGCATAACCAATTTCTGTGACTCTCGGGTGACTTGTTGTTCTAAGCATGACTCTGATTTATAACTTTTTATTTCTACATTTAATAACTTAGCTACCGTGGATTATTTCTAGATTTATCTAACTTTGGTTATGTTTTGTTCAATTTTAGTTATCTTTGTCGACTTTGTGGTATACTGTGATTGGGTTTGACATTTTATGGATTTATCTTTTATCCCTTCACAAATCAAAATTACCAGATGATATTGTTTTGAATCAGTGTTTTCATCAGTGATATCTGATTATTGTATTTCATCAGTGATATCTTTAATGTCTTTTATCTTTAAAGGTATATTTATTTATAGGAAAGTTAAAAAAAATGAAAACTACAAGGGAACGATGATTTAGTGATCAAAATTAGCGGTTGAAATACTTTGGTCGCAATTAGTGACAAATTAGCAACTATATCTATCAATTGCAGTCAGCGACAGAAAGTAGCGACAGATACACTTTTAATACCGTTTATGTACACAAAAATGAAACAATTTAGCAACCGTATTGTGACCAAATAGGGGATATTTATAAAGTGTAATTTTTTTTTTCAAATTTATCAAATGGGTGTAATTTTTTTTTCAAATTTATCAAAATAATAAAATTTTAAAAAATTATAAATTTAAAAAGTCGGGTTATTAAATATGATTGTACATGAAAAAATCATACTTTTTAACTCTTAGTTGTTATTTTTTTCTCTCAAACAAGAACTCGTATTATATAACACAACTTTTATGTAAATTTATGTAATACGACTTCTAATTTTATATTATAATAATTATTATAATTAATAATAATATATTTTATATTATTAATAATAAATTAAATAATAGTAATAATAATAATAGTAATAATAATTTAATTTATATTATTATTAAAATTATTATTTATTTTATTATTTAAATTAATATAATTATTACGTGAATTATTAATGTAATAGTTATTATATTAATATTATTAAAATAAAATAATATAAAAATGAATGATTATTAATAGAATTAATAATAATTATGTTATTATTAATAAAAATAATATTAATAATAAGATAATTCTATTAATAAATAATAATTTTAATAATAATATAAATTAAATTTTTATTATAAATCATATTATAAAGTATTATTTCTTAGTCTAAATTAGTACTCGATAACACAACTTATCTAAATCCATAATTAAAAAAAAAGTCTCAAAATAATTACAATCTTTTGTGAGGGTTATAGTTGGGTCCCTAAAACATATATTTAATCATAAATATATTTAATACCAGTTTTTATTTTCATTTATTTATATTTATATTTATCTTTTTATTATATATTATTATTTAAATTTTTATCTTTTTATTATATATTATTATTTAATTTTTATTTATCAAATTGAAACTGTTATGTTTATTTTCTTAAATAAAGAACATTATTATCTTTGTTATATTCTGCTAAAAGTTATTAAAAAAATAAAATTAGAAATTCTTTATTTTTTAAATAGATACAATTTGAAAAATTTTAAATAAAATTATTCATGAAATTATTAAATATTTTATATGAATTATTATTTTAATTTTATTTCTTATTTATAAAATATTTAATATATTATATTATATCTAATACGTATTAACCTCTCCGAATAATATATAGGTTCGTATCACAATTGCACATATATGAATATATAAAATGAGAATAAAATAGATAATATTGTTAATGTTTAATTTTAGTATTTGTTATTAACTATAATTATAATTTTTTTATTCAATTAATTTTATTTATTTATTTTATAATATATATATATATATATATATATATATATATATATATTAAAAAACCGTAAAATTTTTCAAATAAAAATGAAATTACATATGTTAACAATTTTAATATACAATGAATTAATAATTATTAATAAAAATAATTTAACTCAAAGATGTTAGAAAAAAATATCAAGAAAAACTCAAATATTTTATAATTTTATTAATAAATTAAGAATCAAACCTTACTAAAATATTAAGTTCTCAAAATAAAATATTACTTTAATAAATGATTTTTAATAATTCTTTAATAATAAAATATTACTATTATTAGTTATTTTATATATTATAAAGTTCCTTTTACTATCTTAACAACCATTAAATTACAAATGATACTAATTTTTTAAAATAAAAGATCATTTTAACAATTGAATTCATTTAGTTTTTTATTATTAAAATATTACTTATATTAATTTCTTTAAATTGATTAACACTTTATATTCTCAAATCGATATAATCATGACTTCAATTCAAAATTCAAAATATAAGATATGATAATATAAAAGATGAAAAGACGATAAATTTACTATATTAATTTATTTATTATTAATTATAAATAATTTAGCACCAAAAACAAAAAATATTAGTTAAAAATTGAACATTTTTTTTCGTAAATAAGATAAGATCAAAAGATAAAAGATTCAACAAATAAAATATTTTTTTTTCAAATTAATAAAAACCTAAAAGTTTATCCATGCTCCTTTCTCCTTGACCTGCCCCACGTGTCATCATCTCTTTTGTGGATTTTGTTGTCGCTCAATCTTGACTTCCGCTACTACTAACGTTGTTAATAGTCAATGATGGTACTTGAAAACATTTAATAAAAAATCTAAAATAAAAATAGATATATCTAGATTCACTCCCTTAAACTAATGTTGCTTCCTCTAGTTTATTTTAGTGACTTGAGTTACTCCAAGTATGTTATGCAATTTCTCAAACTACTCCAATTTCATCGGTTTTGTCATGAAGTCTACAATAGGATCTTGAGAATTGCAGTACCTTAATTCCACGACTCCAACGTTCACTAACCCCTTTAATAATAAATGGAACACGTCTCAAAATTCATGATATAATTTTTTTAAAATATAATGTATTAAATAATATTTTGGGTACTTTAAATAATTTTATAATAAAACTCATGTAAAAATAAATAATATATATATATTTTGTTAAATTATTATAGAAAAATTAAAATAATAATTATAGTTTAAATTAAAAAAAGATATTTATTAATTATTAAAATAAAGTTAATTAATTAATTATTATAGAATAAAATTGATTATTGAAAAAAAAAACATGATCTTATCTCTTAAGAGATAATGATCATATCTTATCTCTGGCATTAAATGTAAGAAAAAGAATTAATTAATTATAATTATAAATAGAGGTTACCAGACAGTGAGGAGAAGAAGAATGGGGAAGAGAGGAAAGAGAAGAAAAGAAAGAAAGAAAAAAGGGAGAGGAAGGAGAGAGAAAGAAAGAAAAAAAATTTAAAGAAATTTTTTTAGTGTAATATCTTTAATTAAAGTAGAGAATGAGACTATTATCATTTTCTCTATTTTATAATTATAGTTGTGGAGTGAGGTGTTCCTAACCTATTTTTATTTATTATGTTACTTATTTATTTATCTTCAACTATTTATTGATCTTCTTTATGTTCATTTATTTTATTTATCTCTAGTTATACACTTGTCCTATTTTAATAATCTTCAGTTACCTACTGGTCCTCGCCTTAGATTTATTTATTTATCTCCGAGTCTTGCACTAGTCTTATTTATTTATGTCCAGATTACGTACTTGGTCTTGTTTGTTTATTTTATTTTATCTTCAGTTATGCACTAGTCTATTTATTAATTTATATTTATATTATTTAATTGTTTTTAAATAATAATATCTATTTATGAAGATTTGATGATATTGTAGATGAAGATTGAACCTTGGGGTTTAAATGAGTAAATATCACTAAGAGAGTGATTAAAATTAGACTCATTTATGCTTGATTAGTCACTACAAATTTAATTTAAATCTTCATAAATGGAATAAATAAAATAAGTTGATTATATAACAATTACTTAATTTTAAATATATTCTAATAAATTGATTATTCACCTAATTAAAAAATTAAATATTTTTTTATTTAATAATTTAATTTAATCATAATTAGATTAATTTATAATAATTTATTAAATTAAATAATTTTAAAAAATAAATATTTAATTATGTATAAATATATCAAAATATATAAATATATTAAAATATATAAATATATTAAAATATATAAATATATTAAAATATATAAATATATTAAAATATATAAATATATAAATATATCAAAAAATATAAATATATAAATATAAATATATAAATATATAAGTATATAAGTATATAAATATATAAATATATTGTATTTATATACTTATATACTTATATATTTATATATTGTATTTATATATTTACATGAATATACATTTATTTGTATATAAATATAATTTATTTATAAATTATTATTAAAAAATTCTAGTAGCTTAGTGGTTGAAGTATCAACCTCCAACTCTAAGGTACTGAGTTTGAATATCAAAGGTATAAAAATATAATTGGGAGAAATAAATAATAAAATTATAAAGGACGGATTTTTGTAATATTAAACTTGTACATATAAATGTAAAAACATGAGTGAATCACAAGGTTTAATTGAATTTAGGAGATGCTGAACATTGGTGAGATAGTATCAGGAGATTACTTGAAGGAGGAAGAATAATCTTTTCTTAGGAGGTGAAGCAAGGAGATATGACAGTAGGAGAATATGAAGAGCTAGGAAAATACTCTGCATTCTTTTATCACCCTGATGAAAGAATGAAATATATAAAATTTGAGAATGGACTTAGGTTATATTGATAGATGTTGAATATTGGTGGGATAGTCCCAGGAGATTACTTGAAGGAGGAAGAATAATCTTTACTTAGGAGGTGTTTAAAACAAAATTATTAGAAAGATATTTTTCCAATG